GCTAGTAGTTTTGAACAGTAGATGGTGCTCTAGGCTAGTTTTAAACAACAGATGGTGCTTTAGGTTAGTTTTGAACAACAGACAGCACACTAGGTTAGTAATTTAGAAAAACAGACGGCACTCTAGTCTAGTTTTGAACAACAGATGGCACTCTAGGCTAGTTTTGAACAGAGGACGATGCTCTAGGCTAGTAGTTTTGGACAGCAGATGGTGCTCTAGGCTAGTTTTGAACCACAGACGGCACTCTAGGCTACTTTTGAACTGCAAAAATATGTAGCTGTAATGCATGTGTTTATCTGACAGTAACGGCATGCCTTACAATACACATCAGCCGATCTCAACAGCATAAGGTTTAACGATTAAAACCTATTTAAAGAATAGAACTATTACTTCAGTGTTATTGTACTGTAAAGCTGTTTTCAGTGAGACTCACTCAAGCTACTGAACATTTCTGTTTGGATCATTTCTAATATTCAGGACAGTGATATCATCACCCTTGCTGCAACATAATTAAATCCCACTGATCATTAGTTTCCATTAAAGGGCTTTAATACGAGCCGTGTGTGTAACATGAGATCCGCTTTACAGGAATCAACCACAGCTGCTCTTCATCATCTGATAACAGCAGCTGCTACTGCTCTTTACTACACTGATTCATTAAGAGAATCGGTTCATAGGAGTCATTCTGAAACAGACTCTATTGATTTGTTTGGTGTGCAAATGATTCGTTAAAACAGTCAGTTCAAAGTACTTATTCTGAATCAGAATGAATTAGTTGGTTGTTGTGCAAGTGATTCTTTAAAATAATCTTTTTTTTTTCTAAATTAGAGTTCTCTGGTTTGTTGTTGGACTGATTCATCAAAAGAATCAGTTCAATTTATTCAAGACTGCACTGCTTTGTTTGGTTGGTTGATTGGTTTTAGTGCACTAATGATTCATCAAAAGAATCTGTTCGTAGGAGTCACTCTGAATCAGTGTTTCAGCGGGTGTTGTATATTCAGGTTCTTCTGGCGTAGGTGTTGTCATAGTGAACATCTACTTTATGTCTAACGGCAGATTTCCGAGTGTAATGACAGAAAGCATATGCAAATTTAACCATGTTGAAATGTGTTAAGCCATGCAGGTATTCTTGACAGCTGAATGCATCAATAATCAGGTGAACTGTTTAATAAGCACAGGTTAGGGAATGTGCAGCATTTAAATTTCTGGCCCTATGATTTCATCGTCATGTAATAGATGTATTTTAATTATTTAATTCTAATATATAATATTTATATGTTGAAAAAATAAATTTTAATGATTAAAATACTTAACTACTTATAATAATAACAATAATAATCTTAAGTTTTTTATATAACACCTTTAAAGTAGCCTTTCAAGGCACTTTACAGACAATTGTGCAACAGTAAAAGAGAAGTACAAAGATTAATGCAGAAAATCAATAATAAAATAATTTAAAACACACAATACTAATAAATAACTTCTAATAGTAATATACTTATTTTTTATATTTATATACACTACCGATCAAGTTTGGGGTCAGTTTTTTTTTAATTATTATTATTCATTTGATTTAATAATTTAAATCAAATTATTCTGATCATCAAGGCAGCATTTATTAAATGTGAAAAAAAAGTAAAAGATACTTAATTATTAAATGTTTATTTATTACTTATTGTATGTAGTTCCAAATGAAATTATTACTCCAGTCATGATTGCTTTTCATACTATTACCAATAATAATAATAATAATAATAATAACATTAATAATTAATATTAGAATGATTTCTAAAAGATCATGTGACTTTGACGACTGGAGTAATGAAGCTGAAAATGCATCATTAAAATCACTGGAATAAATAAATAAATTAAATGATAAACTACTTTTGAACAGTTATTTTACAGTGCAATAACATTTAATAATTTTACAGTTTGTCCTGTATTTTTGATTAAATAAAAGCAGCTTTGGTGAGCAGGAGAAGCTGATTTTAAAACATTAA